TCTTGAGAAGACAAACAAGCATTTAGCACAAAATTAACAATTTGCCTTTTTCCCTCGTCACTTACGCTGGGAGCGTACAATTTTATACCCTTAATTAATTTTCTAACTGTTTCGGCATCACCATTTAGGGATGGCAGCAAGCTAGCCGCGGTTTTAAAATCAAAATTTGCCATATTTACGTTTTTTGTTTGAACAATCTTTACAATATTTTTATTTCTTTCCTCTAAAATAACTGAACATTCCTCTATGTTTTTAAAAATTGCCTTAATTAACTCTAATATAAATGGTTCATTTTTCGACTTTACATCTTTTTGATTTTTCTCATAAAATTCCCTAAATTTTTCAGCTGACTACAAAATTTCCTAATTTTAATAACTTACGATCTACAATGTCTTTATCATGTCTTCTCGCCTCGCTGTCTTTTTTCAAGTTAACTCCGAATTTAACGATGCCACTGTGTACTTGCTCTAGTTCTTGTAACATCCCGCACTTCACTTTCACTTCCGATGCACCGCTTCTAAAGGTTTCTGGTGGTTCCTTGCGCGATGTTTAGGATTTCACAGCTTCTGGCTATTTCTCTGACGGTTTACGTTTTTATTTATTTTCTTTCAGCATAACCAAAGTACTCCTACCAGCAATATTATTGCGACCCCAGTTGTTGCTATTATGCCGCATATTTCAACAGCAGAAATAGATTCTATGTATGTCTCGCTGATGATGATAGTTTTTTACGCCTGCGATCACTCCGGATTGTTCCATAGAAAGTTTATCTGGTTTTGAGTTAAAACTTCTCCATTTTGGTATTATTACTTCTTACTTTTAATTATTTATTTTAACTGGCACTATTTTTTCATCCTTGTATATTCAACTGCTACTATTTGATCTTCTTACACTATTTATTTCACTGGCACATATCACTGACTACTTTTTTCTCGGTGGCAGGATCGCCTTGTAATGTGGGTACCAACGGGTGTGGTGCATTCTTAGGATTTAAGTAAAAACAGATATTTCCTGATAAGTGTATTGATTCTTCATTCTACAAAAGGTGTCTTGACACTGCTTATTAATTTAAAGGATTTCCAAATTAATACGTGGTTGCAAATCAGCAATACGTCACTTGCTGACTATTGATGATTCTAATTAATTGATCGGTATTTCGAAGTTGCAACCTACTTTATGTTTATAATAACTACTTGCCTAAGCAATTTGTGTTGTAATGACCTATTTACTATTGTTACTATAGCAAGAAGCTTAAGCACCCCATTCGATGACGAAGTTCAAAGGAAGATCCAGTCTCAAGCAATATATGCCTCTAAAACCCATCAAGCGAGGAATAAAAATTTGGGAGCTATGCGATTCCATAAGTGGTTATGTATACAATATAGAAAGGGGTGAATATAAAATTGTTGGAAACATGCATGGTTCTACTTGTTGTATTTGGCAAAACACTAAAGAAGTGATGTTGCTCAGCAATTGCCACGGGGATCATATTACTGAAGTAAAAAGAAAATTGAAGACTGGAGAAAGGAAGATCTTACCTTGTCCTGCAGCTATATGTTTCTACAACCAGTATATGGGAGGTGTAGATCTTTCCGAACAATTAACAACTTTATACGATCACGACCGAAAATCTTCAAAATGGTGGCGCAAAGTATTTTACATGCTACTAATGGCCGCCGCAGTAAATGCATCAATAATATACAGCGACATACATCGTAAGAAGGAGCCACTTAAAATTTTCTTGGTAGATCTGGCTGATGATATTGTCAGCTACGAAAGAGAAACTGCCAAAATCAGAAGACGACGATGCACTGGTCGACCTTCAACAAGTTCCAAAAACCTTTTAAATGTCGGATCATTTGCCAATTGAAGGTGCAAATCGCAGGAGATGTGTTAGATGTTCTAAACGCAAGATCGAAAAGAGAACTAACACATTTTCATTATGTTCGTTATATACATATGTAATTTCGCTTTGTGTAAAAATTGTTTCGCATTGTTTCACACATAAAATTTGAATTCTAAAATGTAAAAATATATATATTTTGTATTTTTCCAATAAAAATGTTCCTATATAAAATAAAGCCTGTTGGGACACATACTCCCACAAAATAATCCTGGTGGGATATATAATATATTATACAGGGTGTTTCAGAATAAGATGCTGCGAAAAATGGTCATGAAATCAAATTTGCCCTAAAATGAATGGGGATTTAAAAAATAATTTTTATTTTAAAAAATAGCAGTGCCGTGCATAATATTTTTTCAAAAATATCTAGACCACATCCTGTACGGACGCCACTGGTAAAAAAATTAAAAATCTTTTACATCAAAAACTTACTGTTAATGCTTAGAAGGCGTGTGCCAAATTTTATAAAAATATCTAGGAAGTTATTAAAGTTATGATAAAAAAACGATTTTTTTCTTAAAACTTTAACACCCTGTAACTCAAAAATTAAGAGGTTTAGGTCATAGGTTTATTTGAACTTTTTTTCTTAAAATCAACTAAGGATTCACACCCTAAAGGTTCACCATCTTATTCTGAAACACCCTGTATATGTTCCACCGCTCTATTTTGAAAACTGATTATTGAAAAATTCTCAAGTCAAGATAAATTTGCCTGTGAAGTATTTGAATCCAAGCTGGAACAAAAAATCGTTTAAAACTTGATCCTGCAAAAGTCGGTTCGAAAGGGATTCATCCCTAAATGGGTATATATAGATACCCATTTACCTTGTTTATTTTGCAATTTAAAATTTAATTAAATTGGGTGGGCCAGTGCGTTATGTTAAAAAATATAACAATAAAAATTAATAATTAATATAAATATATTTATTATTAATAAATATAAACAATATTAATTAAAAGGTACCCTTGTTTGTGCAATTTATTTAATATATTAGGGGAAAGGAGGTTTATTTTGTATTTTATTAAATTTAATAATAATAATCTATTATTATAACGAAAAAAAAATATTTACTATTAATTTTGACCAAATTTTGATGTAGGTGTGTAGATTTGTCGTAATTTATATATTTAATAAAGGGTTTTTCATTTAGAGCGTCAGAACTTTTAAATGAGATAGAAAAATACAAACTGGCTATTTATACGTCCGACGTATACAAAATTTGGTATACGTCTTGTGCTTCACACGTCACACACTGTAAACTGGTATTATTTTCAAAACAAACGGAATTATTCAATAAGCTCGGTAGCTCCGATGGAAGAGCGCCCGCTTTGTATGCGAGAGATACCAGGTTCGATTCTTGGCGCCAACAACTTTTTTTTTATTTTTATTTATATAGCAAAAAGGAATATTATTTAATTTTACATTAATATTAATTTTGCTACAGTTATATAATATAATATGTAATTATATGAATATTCCTTCGTTGAAAAATTGGGCGGGGGGGGGGGGCAATGGGGCGGGGTCGGTTGGGTTGGGTTGTTGAGTTTGGGTTGGTTTGGGTTGGTTTCGCTCACTTTTGCCCATTTAAGTTGATTGACAGTGAGCGAAACCAACCCAAACTCAACAATGAAAGCTCAAGACGTACCAAATTTTGTATACGTCGGACGTATAAATAGCCACTTCGAAAAAAATAACTACATGTTATAATCCCGTAATCTATATTTTATTTTGAAGAACGATCGATGACATTATGTTTTAAATATAATATCGTTTAAATGTCCCCCTCGACTTTGCCTGACTGAATGCATTATGAAGGCCTAATTTCTACTAATCTTTTACAAATATATATCGCGTGGTATACTTTGAATAGTGCGTTTAATGTTTCGTTTAAGGTCGAGAATTGTTCGTGGCTTATTTTTGTAAACCTGAGATTTCACATGATCCTTTAGATGCACAAAAGTTGACTTATTTGCCAGTAAACCAGTTTTTTCTTAAACGATAAACCTTATATTTCTCGCAACTTGCAAAATGTTTGGCAAACCGAACATGCATTTTGATGGTAAATACGAATTATTTCTAAGCGCTGTTAAATTGTTATCTGTCCATATTAATTTGAAATGTACTGAACACATGTGTTGTCAAGATTTGACATTTACATTCCAGAGCAGCCTTATTTTTAGGGTTAAAGTTATGACACTCAAAATGGAAAACCCTTTATTTTATTTTAAAATTTATTTAATATAGAGCGTTCATTTTCCGGACATTCGGACAATATTTGAGGGTCCGCCACCTCTTTAAAGTGAAGATTTTATTTTGTAAACTTTAAAAAGGTGGTGGTGCCTAATTTTTTTTTGTTAGGTAGTTGTGGTAATAGGACAACACTTTCTCCAATAGGCATATTAAATCATGTATTTCACTCCACCTTAATGTATACCTATCATATTATGATCCTTTATTCGATTTTTTTATGTTCTTTAAAAAAGACAAAAAGTCGATTTTTTTACACACATACATGTATAGACCTATTCCATAAAACGGACTTTTGGATAGCGCGTGCGTGAAAAGGCACGTCGTCTTTTTTTAATTATATAAAAGAGAAAGAGATACCACTCTTCTTCAGGCACGCGCTATCCAAAAGTCTGTTTTATGGGATAGGTCTATTATACAAAATATAATATAATATGTGTAAAATTGGCCTATAATTCTAATATACATTTAACGCGTTTTGAAATATATTTGACTATTCTGAAATACATTTAACGCATTCCGAAAAACATTTGACTAATCTAAAATACATTTGACTATTCTGAAATACACTTAACGGTTTCTGATATTTATTTAACGCTTTCTAAAATACAATTATGAAAGGTGTTATAAACCAATTCAGTAGCCTGTTGGAAATATGAAAGGAGAATAATAGATTGGCCCCTGTTGTACACAAATGTAAGATCACTGCCTCTGTTCAGTTTTTCCAGATTTTTACTTGCAAGTGAATAGTATTTTTAAGATAAAATTCATTGAAAACAAAAAAAAACAAATGCTACTTCAGGATTTGGATGGCTTATAGTTTGTAAACTTAAATGATGTTTTTTAGGTAAAAGTGGTGTGTGAAACGAGAGATTACAATCATAGTGTGGAATTAAGAGATTTGCTCTACTCTCGGTACAAAAAAGTAAGATTTGATAATAACCAATTTCAGTCCCAAGTATCCTCTACCTCAGACTATGATTAATCGACAATTTTGTAATGAAAAAAATGTGATAATAAAAAAAGCATTTATTTTTTAAAACCACTGTCTTATTTCTGCGTAAACGTTTATTAAAGAAATATACAGACCACAAAAACCAAACAAATCACTTACATCAATATTTGGCCCTGTTCACATACTTTCTACATTTATTTTTTTATTGCATTAAAGATTTGGCAGCAGATTCCATAAACGTTGCCATTTTTATATCACGTTCACTTAACCCATTAACATCATGAGAAGACAATGTAACCTGCACCTTGTTGTAAACATTGAACCATTCTGGATGATGGTTCATTTTTTCTGCCAGTAATCCAACTCGAGACATAAAACCAAAAGACTAAAAATAATTAAATATTTAAGTAATATGCTGCTAAAAAAATAACAAAATTAAATGATTTATTCAAAGGACTCAGATAAAGCTTCATGACAATTGTCATAAATGGGGTATGAAAATTGCAAAACTCTAGAATGTTTTAGTCTTATAAAAGGGTTGTCCTATAATTTAAAATAAAAATTCAATATTTTTTTAAAATAAATAAAGTTTATTTTAATAATTTCATCGTAATTTTTTTTTTATTGCACAACGTACAGGATAATTCAAACCCACATTGCTTTATTGTGCGAAAACGGGATAAGGTATTCACAAATAATGATTAGCAACATTTTACAAACTGTGATTTTTTCACTGATACTAACAAATCACGATGAACAACTGTTACCAACTTATACAAATAGCTGTCATACCTTTGCAACGATATCTTTTCACTCTTAAGTAAAAACATATCTTCAATCAACGGTATAACACAAAACGAAATCACGGTTTAAAATTACTCGTACAATAAAGTAACGATTCAGTGTAACGGGATAAGATCTTCAAAAACTGGTTGGAGGATCAAAAATGGTGATGGGAAATATTTTACGAACTGTGTTTTTTTCACCGATACTAACAAATCACGAAAAACAAATTAAACAAATAAATGTCAGTTACTTTTCTGATATGGCTATGTTATTGTGAAATTGCCGGCACTTGCGTCTAGCGACGACCATGACGTCATAGAAAGCAGCCAGTAAAAACGAATCGAAAATCGCTGTTAAAAACTATAATTTTATATTAAAATGGAAGAGAAATCTTTAATCAACGTTTTAAAATTACTGATATAAACAATCTAACGATTCACTATATCGCTCATGACTACAGTCATATTGAATATATTCACATATTGTTTATTTCAACCTCAAAAAGAGATTTGTGAAAATTTGAATTTAAACTTTAAAAATACAATTATACTACACAAATAAAAAGTAGAAAATTATAGTATAAAATTATTATCAAATCGGCCTGTATGAAGTGATTCCTGGGCCTTAAAATGTAAAAATCAACTCCCCACTCTCTTAAAATGAATTAGTCAAAAATGAATTGTCATAGCGAAAAATGTATCTCGGACATTTAGCATTCAATTTATATGAAAAATTGTCCGCTGAATCTGAAAATGTCGTCAAAAGTTATAAAAGTAGAACAGTGTTTAAGATATATCTTATAAAACATAAAGGAGTACAATCTTTTTTTATAAAAATATAAATACTATAGAGCTAGTGGCGGTGCAATATACCTACGCCAAAGAAAATATAAACGTTAAAGAACTTAATCTTAACACTAACATTAACAAATATTAGCTGTCCAAAAAACATATCATCCGATATTGCATAATATGCAAACAATACCTTGCAAGATCTCGAAAACACAATCTCCCAAATTCCTTAACCACAACAGCGCATGGGGCACCACCAAAACAGATAAAATAGGCAAAATAATTAATTAAATAATAACACTGGATAAATCAAAAAAAAAATTGTAATTTTAAACGACGCGTCGCGACGGAACAAACACAAGATTAAACTCCTTTTCTGGTATTTTCTCGGCTATTGACTTATCGTTCTGTGATTCCTCCCTATCCACCTTCCTAACCTAGAACGTCTCTGAAGACCCACACGATAGTGACCATTTTCCTATTTTCATAAAAACATCCTTTGATAAAAATACTATTTTTTTTCTCCAAAGTGAAAAACAGAACATGGCAACTGACAGGAATTTTATGAATATATTAATAATAAACTAATCATATCCTCTCGAAAAAGAGGAAATACAGATATTTACCAACATTATTATCGAAGCGGCTCATGAAACCATTGCCATTGCATCTAATAATATTAATAATAATAATATATTTATTGCCATTTAGATCACATGGGTGACATAAGCAAGGCCATGCAACAATTAAAACACTGTCCAGTACCTTGGTGGAACCCGGCCTGCAAAAAAGCCGCTTTTAATAAACCTAAACAAAAACCTATACAGGGTGTCCGGAAAAAGGAGGTCAATCCTTTAACCATATATTCCTTGAGTTAAAACAATAAGACTTTCATAATACCATTTTTCAATTTAGAGCTTCATGTTCGATATACAGGGCGACAAAGTTTGAAATTTAAAATAGATTTTTTTTAATAATTCGAGTAATTAATAAGGTATTAAGTTCAAATTTGGTACACTATTTCAACATAAATAGTTACATCTTTTGAGATCAACAAAACAAAAAACAAATGTCAAATAATCAAAATAGGGGGGGTCCAGTACTCACTGACCCCCCCTATTTTTTAGTACGGGCGCCAGTGACTTCCAAATGGTATTTTTTCAGGTAATCATTTAGTGTTAAACATTTTTTGTCTCCTATAAAAATTTGATGAAATGATTTGTTTTAGAGATAATTTGTAAAGTATTGGTCCTTGAGTGATGCCCAGGCGGCTTATGGCAATCTCATAATTTTCAAATGTACTACTGGACCACCCTATTTTGATTATTTGACAATTATTACATCTTTTTAGGACAACAAAACAAAAAACAATTGTCAAATAATCAAAATAGGGTGGTCCAGTACTACATTTGAAAATTATGAGATTGCCATAAGCCGCGTGGGCATCAATCAAGGACCAATACTTTACAAATTATCTCTAAAACAAATCATTTCATCAAAATTTTATAAGAGACAAAAAATGTTCAACACTAAATGATTACCTGAAAAAATACCGTTTGGAAGTCACTGGCGCCCGTACTAAAAAATAGGGGGGGTCAGTGAGTACTGGACCCCCCCTATTTTGATTATTTGACATTTGTTTTTTGTTTTGTTCATCTCAAAAGATGTAACTATTTATGTTGAAATAGTGTACCAAATTTGAACTTAATACCTTATTAATTACTCGAATTATTAAAAAAAATCTATTTTAAATTTCAAACTTTGTCGCCCTGTATATCGAACATGAAGCTCTAAATTGAAAAATGGTATTATGAAAGTCTTATTGTTTTAACTCAAGGAATATATGGTTAAAGGATTGACCTCCTTTTTCCGGACACCCTGTATAACAAAATACTAAAAACCAGAATATCTCCTAAGAAATGGTCAGAAGCTATAATAATAGCCATACCTATAGCCAAAAATATTAAAAACATTAGTGAACCTGAATGTGTAAAACTTTAGAAAGCATTCTGAACAAAAGACTAACTTGGTGGTTCATAGAACAACAAAACTTAATCTCCAACTTCCAAAGTGGTTTTCTGTAAAAACGATGTACTTTAGATAACATTTTATAAATAGAATATAAAATTCTTGAAAGCTTTGCTTTAAAACAAAGCCTAATCGCAATTTTCTTTGATATAAAAAATGCCTACGACACAGTTTCTAAACGAGACGTGCTATTTAAATTAAAATCCATAGGTCTAGAAGGAAACTTTCTATACTCTAAGTTAAAGCAAATGGATGCTTAAAGAAAATTAGACCCCTTGATAACGGATTGCCACAAGGCTCAATACTTCATTATATCCATAAACAATATCGTCAAAAAGATACACTGATGACCTAGATGTATTTTCCAGAAGCAAAAATACAGAATACTGAAAAATGTAGTAATGTCATTTTTGTTAAAATATAAATTATATTAGGTAAAGTCTACAAATTCATGGCAACATAATATTATATATAAAACATAATATAATACCGGTTCTTGGTGTGAAGAATTTCTTAATCAACGATTTTAATAGTTCATAATGCTGTTCGAATTCTCTCGAACTATCAAACCACAGAAGTTCTGTGACAGAACGCTAAACATACATTATTCAGAAATTCAGGGAATCAGAACTTTCATTGGTTGCGCCGCGCAACTTGCGCGCTTCCTTGGGTTGATATCTCATTCAATAGAGGGCGCAGAAAAATGCCTACCTACAAGGCGCAGTGTGTATAGGTAGGTAAGACAAATTACATATTTCACCATAATGGTGGCCACATACAGGGTGTCCCAGAACTCGCGCCACAGAGGAAAAGGGGGCGTGCCGATAGCAATGGAGATGCCAAATTTAAAAATAAAAAATTTCTAGGTAATAGTGTAATTGAATAAGAGCAAAAAAGCGGCAGCCAATACCGAGAGCTCTCGCCTAGGTTAAAAGTAGGAGTTTTAAAAGTTGCTAGGAGACGATAGAACATTGTTGTCTTAAAAACATTTAAAAATCTTGAACGCCCCATAAATAATTATCATTTCGGTATAGGAAAACCTTAGAACAAAAAACAAGAGGAAAACAAGAGGAAAACATTATTTATATAACCTAATATAATATATATTAATGACAGAAGTAAAGATTGACAGCAGTGTCACAATGAATTGGATTCCAGTGGACCAAATGGTTTACATATTTTTTATTATTAACAATGTAACCTAAGTATCCTAGCAATTTAACCTTCCCGCTACGGTGGGTATTGGTGCACGTTTTCGCCGGTGGGGGGTATGTAAGATACCCCACAGTAAAATACGGTTTATCATGCTTTGGATTAATTTATTCATTGAATTAGGTCTCCAGGGATGTAGTGATGCTAGAAGTATACGTTAACTCAAATTTTATTAATAAAATTTTAATAAAGAAACACGAATTCAAAAAAAATAAACATAAAATAAATTCTGAAACACATTTATATATCAAATTAATCGTAATTATTGATCATGATCAAAACAATCCACACAGTAAATTGTCGAGGAAACAAATCGATGAGTTTTGCAAACGAATTTCCCGCAACTTTTGCAGACAACCATATCTCATACCCCAGCCAAAAATTGACAATTATTTTAAACAATCTGGAATATTTTTTTAGTTCCTTTTGAAATTTGATACATTGTTATGTTTTGAGCAAATACATGGAGTTTCCAATCATTAAAAAAATTATTTTAAAAGTTATTAACAAAAAACATGCCCGGGGTATAAAATATACCCCCCACCGTACTCCGAAGGTTAAAGAATTCCCTATGGCCATCTATTGGGATTGGCTATCGTTTTTTATTCTTATCTCTCTTATCCCTTGCGTTAGACAATTTTAATTTTCAAATACCTATGTGTTTCTTGTTAATTTCGGCACATTCCCTTTTTCTCTGTGGCACGAGTCCTGGGACACCCTGTATTTAATAAATTATATTATATTCTACAAAAACAGTTCAGTCTAAAAATATTATTAACAAAAAAAAGGGGGGAGCTCAAGTAAATTGTAAAATTCCAGCCAATATCATGAATTCTTATTTCGTTAATATAGCTGATAATATTTAAAAAAATTTAAATGTAGGTAGTTAGTTCCACAGTTAACCTGGACAAAATTCAAACACCAAAATACCAGTTTAATTTTAAGGAAGTCACTTATATTGAGGTACTGGAAATAATTTCCAATATTAAATGAAAAAATAGCTGTGATGTCTATGGTTTAAATATAAATTTAATAAAAAATGTAAAATACTTAATATCTGTTCCCTTAGCTAAATTAATAAATATGTGCTTTTTATCTGCAGAGTTTCCGGGTGTTCTGAAGGAGGCCCTTGTCGTTCCTGTTTACAAGAAAGGTGATGCTGAAGACCCCAGTAACTACAGACCAATATCAATATTGCCAATTTTTTCAAAAATTATTGAGAAATGTATGGCAAATAGGATTGTTGCTTTTTTTGAGGATAACGACATCTTTTGTGATTATCAATATGGTTTTAGGAAGGGTAGAAACACTACAACTGCTATCTTACAGATGGTAAAATCCATAAATGAGTCATTTGAAAATTTGGAGTTTGCGAATGCAGTTTTTTGCGACCTTAGTAAGGCCTTTGACTGTGTCTCTCACTCTTTACTTCTGAAGAAATTAGAGGCCTACATATTCTCAGCGAATAGTGTAAAACTCATTAAGTCATACTTAGCAAATAGATATCAGGTGTGCAGGGTTGAAGGTAGGGTGAGTCAGAGGATGGAGTTACGAGTTGGGGTTCCCCAGGGTTCTATTCTTGGCTCAATCCTGTTTTTAATTTTCATTAATGACTTGTGCTGCAATAATGGCGCGGTGGGTTTTACACTTTTTGCTGATGATACCACAATAATATTGAAACACTCAGATATTGAACTACTAAATGAAGAGAGCGAGCGTGCACTGTCAGAGGCTGAGCTATGGTTTACAGACTTGTTTTAAACAAAGAAAAAACATAAAATCTTATTTTTTCTTTAAGACCTATAAATGATGGATACCCACTAAAACCAGTTAAATTTCTAGGAATCTTATTAGATCACAAATTAAGATGGAATTGCCATGTTGATGTGTTATCCAAAGAATTGAGCACCAGTATATTTGTCATGCGTAACTTAGTTGGTAATGTCTCTAGTGATGTACTGTTAAGTGCATATTATTCGCTATTTGAGTCACATATATCTTACGGTCTAATTGTGTGGGGTCACTCTGCGGAATGTTATAAAATATTCGGTCTTCAACGCAAGGTAATAAGGATCATCGCCTCTCTTGGCTACAGGGGCGACTGTAGGGCTATGTTTAGTAATCTTGGAATTCTAACACTACCCTCCCTATATATTTTTCAAAATTTACTTTATGTTAAAAATAATTTGAATTTGTACCATAGCCATGATAGTTTTCATGACTATAGTTGTATACAATACAAGGAATAAAAATCAGCTTATGAATAAATTTTCCAGGCTCAATAAATGCCAAAGTGGACCAGATTTTAACGGAATAAAATTTTACAACAAACTTCCAATCAACATAAAAAATATGGCTTTTAAGGAATTTAAGTTATATCTAAGATCTTTATTTGTAAAGAACGGGTTTTATTCTGTAAACAAGTATTTTGAGTACCAATTTTAATGTTTTAATTATATATTTACCTATATTATGTAAATTTGTACTTTTTAATGTATTTGTAATTAGTCTTTTCTTTCTACTTTTTCTTTTTTTTGACGTTGTAAACAATTTGTATTGTATTAGCACTAATAAAGATTATTATTATTATTATTATTATTACCTGATTAAAGTCCTTGAATAAATATTCCTTATAAATAGCATCTCTATTTTCCACCATGATCCAACCATGGGTTAGAAGGGCAGCCAAAGTGGTTGATCTTTGTTCAGGAGTTAAAGCCTTAAAATTAACATTATAAATAATTTAGGTAAGCTATAAAAACCACAAAAAGATTTAACTTACCATTTTTGTTTTGGTAGAATAATACCGAGTACTTGTTATGGCTGAGTAACGGAAATTGTGGTCAATAAAGTGAAAGTTGTTCTTGATGCAGATCTTCAAAGCGCATGGTGGCGAAAATTTGATAAATAAATTAAGAAACATGTTTATAAATTAAAGCAATAGCATTACTTGGTTTTACCTCATTAAAAATAACTTGTTTGTTATCTAATAATACTTAGTTAAGTATTTATTATTATTTATTTGTATATTTTGTTTTTAAATATTTTTGACATCTGTCAAAATATAGTAGTTCAAAACCACGGTCTTATCCATGGAGCCTACACAAGGAGCCCGAACTTAATAGGGAAAATTGACAAAACCTGCCCTCTAAATTGCACAAATTAAGTCTTTTTTTTCACCACCAGCGGCGCTGATTGTTGATGTGTCCTGACGTCTGCTCTTTTGGTAGCGTTTCGGTACAAATTAGTCAATTGTTTTAGAATAAACGGGAAACCAGCGCTAACTTTCCTTAGGAAGATTCTTGTTTACATGCAGTTCGGACTCCTTGTGTAGGCTCCATGGTCTTATCCATGATACAAAGAAATGTTTTCTTTGTATCATGGGTCTTATCTACAGGTCATCTATCTACAGGTCATCTATGATACAGGACTTGAAACTTATCCGAATTTTAACAGGAAAAGTGACTCCGCTATTGAGTTCAGTTTTGTCTTTCGTGTCTTTCATCTCTGGGACATTGCTCGATGAAAAGTGTGAAACATAGCTGACTTTGAGGAACAAAATTGGGGTGGATGGCTTCGTGAAGCGCATGGACATTAAAAACTTGTTGCTGGTCAAAGTGGTTCATTGAAACCACTAAACTTGTATAGTTCAGTGATTGAAACGGGAGCAGCTCGTGACACCCAAACACGAGAGATCTAAACTCGATGGGTCTAAAATTTAAAAGCGCGGTGGGTCTAAAATGTGTGGCAACGTCGCACTTCAAATAAGGTTTGGTTCACATTTTTCTTAAATGAAATGTAAATTTTCGGTTGGTTTAGACCTCACGAGTTGCCTTATCTCTGCGAGTTGCTCCCCTCTGATCAGGGTTGGGTATCTACCTACATTTTTGTTTTCGACATGTAGAAAACCTTTTTCGACGTTTTCGACGGTAGAAAACGTAAAAAAGTAGAATACTGTCAAATATCAAAAAATGTGAGGTTATGCAAGTTTGTTGTTTATTATGATTTGTTAAATGTGGTGAAAAATCAGACACCTACCATAAATTTGAAGTTATTTGGAGTTTTTTAACATTATTATGGTGGGAAAAAAAGGGCCACGTTTGGTTGGGAGACCCCAACATAATTTTTGGCATGAGGGCAAATTTTTATCAATTATAGAGAAGTGGAAGGAGAAGGTCGAATAAGGTAATTTACGTAGTTAGAAAACCCTATAGGTTTTCGACGCAAGTCGAAAACAAGTTTTCTACCCTTTTCTACCAAGGTAAATTACCTAAGGTTTTCTACTGACCCAACCCTGCCTCTGATATACCCATAACCAACAAAATTTACAAAGTTACTGGTGCCATCATAAAGGTACATTGATAATATCAATTTGATATTGTTATTTATATACCAAAAAGCTTTATAACAATAACAAATGATCATAGATATATGTATGCAAGTGATGTTGTATTCTTATTCTATGGTTGTATATTGTGTATTCTATGGTTGTAAGCACAATTGTGTGGATTGTGGTTGTAAGGACTTCTTACCAAGCAGTGATTTTGACAGTTTAAGTTTAAAAATATATTCAGAGAAGAAAGCAGTTGGTCAGTTTAGGATTGGTTTGTGACATGGCCATGAAATGGTTCTCCAGGGCAACACTAATACATGTCAGCGTCGACAACCCATCCTTTTGAAACATTCTAAATTTAGAAATAATATAATTAATATATTAGATGACCTTTTTAAAAATAATTTGACGAGTAAGCATTTAATATGTATTTTTAAAATACACTATTTTTAAATATGTGGATACCTAACTAATATTGTATGTTTTCAGTACTTCCAGAGGATGCCGAAAGTCAAAACTGGTCAAGATAATTAATAAATAAAAATATCCATGTGGCCAAAAGCAAAAAATTCACGTGGCCTAATTGTTGGAACCAGTATATCATCAGTTTATCCCACCTATAGTAAGTGAGAGAAAGGGGAGAAACATACAAGAAGGATAGTAAAGTATAGTATGTGACACAGGTGTGAAACAGAATCGGCAAAACTGGAAACATGACCCCTAATGGATAGTTGTGTGCCATTGGGTCCTGTTTGGCTTTAAGAACTTTTTAAGGAGCCTTATTGATATATGTAAAATAGTTTTAAAATGTGTATTATGTATTATGTTTTAAATTCAAAACTTGTTGGCTTTTTAGCAAACCTTGGTTTTTCATTACTTAGGTTGAGTTGGTTCATAAAAAAGAATAATTTGGTTATTAGGCCTTGTGACAATACAAATTAAGCAAAAAAAATGCAAAATGCACACTAGTTATAAACTTGTTAGTGTTCTAAAATATATTTGTAAAAACTTATAATTTATATTTCAAATGTTAAATCTTATAAATTTGTTAGCCTAAACATTAGTTTGTAACCAAGGTTTACTATAATTATTATAGTCAATAATTCTCTTTTGGATGCATTTTGCTACATAATAGCCCCATAAAATTTTTTGAAAAACGTGTTTTTAAATATATTTAGATACCTATGTAAAAGAGAAAAATTCAACCAAAAAGAATGCAACCTCGAATGTAACAGTGGACCATTTAAAAAAATCAATCTTTTTTAATGTTTAAGGTATACTTCTTTTAAAAGCTAGAATTTTTTTAATTAAAAGTTTATCAGTCTTAATGTTTGTTATATTAGTTTTCTACCAAAAATTGCCCAATATATTTTTGCTTTAAATTTTATGTTTGTTAATTAAATTATTTTTAAAAGGAGTTGGAAAATGGAAGCCATGGGACACCAACCTGAGAGCATAAACCTTAATTACACAAATGCAACACTACCTACAAGTTTGAATAAGGAATCTATTGTACACCAACTGGAGGACATAAACCCTACTTACGTGAAATTCAATGCAAGAAAGAAGACATTCTTGCAACACAGCAAACGGAAAATTATAGAGGTGTATAGGATGACGCCACGTTTGAATATCGTTTTCTAAATCTCCCTACGGTATAGAGTTGTATTCGTCAGTCGAGCGTTTCAATACTCTCCACAGTATAGAGGTCGTAATTTCACTTTTGAACTAGTATTAATATAAAAATTATTTTATGCTTAAAAAAAACTATATACGACATGATTGTGATTTTTTTCATTTTATTAATTAATTAAGCTGTGTTGAATATTTTTCCTAAAGGAATAATTGCCAATGGGCCATTAATTCATTTGTTCGTAGATGCTACAATAACCTGCACTGGTGTGTACTTTTTCATCAACCAGATTTAAATATTACAAAACTAACATATACCAGTGGAGATAGTGCAGGGTCTACCAACAGACCTAATTACTAAATTATTAAAGTTTAATACCATATCGATCAGTTTTTCAACATAACCTCTGAAATTTTTAATACAAATATAGGTACTTAGGTACTTTATATAATACATAAATATACTTAACATCATATCCTCTGTGCTTTACATACCTGAGTTGTTACGGTAAATAAAAATCAGACAAAGGAACCAAAGAATGGAACTATTTTCAACAAAATCATATGCAGAAATGAGAAAATTCAAACTACTTGCATCCATCAAAAGATCAAAACTTCTTGCAATATTACACCCTCTTTTTATACTCTCAGAAATATTGACTAGAACAGTATTAGAGAGACTCCAGTTTCTATAACTTGGTAGAGTAAAGAAAAGTCGAAACCGTTGCGATATTGCATTGCGCTGTTTTTGTATAATTCTCGGGAACATTAACGAAAATCATTGCCAGTAAAATTCGAAAAGCTTGCGTTTCTATGTCTCTGAGGAGAATAGGAATCCGAAGTTGCTGCACCATTGGACTGAACCCTTTTTTAATAATTTCTAGAGACATAAATGACTGCACCATTCAACAGGGTCGAGTTTCTACTCCTCTGTTGAATATAGAAAATCAAAATAATGTATCTTGTAAGACACCATTGAGTTTGACTTTAAATATAGTCGTGCATAGGTATAGGGCCGAAAAATATAAAAACAAAGCACGATTCAATACAGTTATGATAAAACTTTAAGATTTGATATTCAAACGCGGAGTCATCCTATACACTTCTATAATTTTCCGTTTGCTGTGAAGATGCAGTTCTACTGCACTAGTTGCATATTTTATCCAATACTATAAACTATAATCAATCTTTGCCATTGAATACACTAAATTCAATAGTGATACTTTCACATGTAACATTTTTGTACTGCATTTTGTAATATCTTAAAGTCAAATGATACCTATGCATATTCTTATTTTTGTAAAGAAATATTAATATCATATTAAAAAAAATACCAAACAGTTAGGTATATTTTATTATTAGTTTATTTTTGTAAAAGTAACTTTTTATTATTAAATTTGTAAGGGTTTGTATTTTTACTCTTCAAGGAAAGGACCTTTAATAATTAATTGTTTATTGATTTATTTTCAGTTTAAAATCGTTGTAAAATCCGTAATATCCACAATCCATTATTGGATTGTGGTAATATCCAAATAATTTTTAAATAAACAAATCATGCGCAATTTTGTTATGTTACGTGACGTGTTGACTTCTGTCAAAATATTTTGCTTTTTGTTTGTAATGGTGAAGTTGTGTTTTTCTTCTAATCTGCGGTTTCAAAAAATGACTTATTTTAGAAAGTTGGTCACTTTAACATATGGATAAACCCAGTTTTTGAGTTTGACACACATTGCAAATAAATTGAAATGTTCAACAAAGGGATTATTTATAATTTATTATCTATGATTATTATTATTGATTATCTATGATTACTTCGTTGCAAAACCGGAGATTTATTCGATTGCCATTTTCATAAAATAAATACAAAATGTTATCCCTTACCCGGTCTTCCATCTTAGATGATTTCTGTACTAACTTTAATAGATATGGTATAGATGGCTCCACAATAATTTAAAAAAACATACTTCATGGAAGTATGTGTTTAAAAATATACGTGCAGTGATGCCAGATATACGGATTTTTCCGTATTCTACGGAATTTCGAGTGTTTTGGGAAAATATACGGATTTTTATACGGATTTTGGGG